GAGTTCTGATTAGGATTTCAGGGTTAAAAAAAATCATTGGTGGTGAAACACACCAAAGAGTCAAGTTACTGAGACTGGACCACTGGATACAGAGTCTAAGAACATCAATTAATCCTTCTTCACATAAGATGAGGACACAGTATTTGACATCTTTCCCACCTTGGTCAGATTTGACAAGGGTCAGGTTTGGGTCAGAGATTGAAAATAGGGAAATATGATGAAATTGATAAGACAGGGGGAAATTTAAAAGGAACTAAAACCTCTGAAAGTGAAGAGCAAACAACTTACTTGTAAAAATTATTCTGACTCATGATTTCAGTAACTAAAAGAGATTGGTATGAAATGATTGAATTAGAATATCTTTTTTGTAGGATAATATTTTTGTTGTTACTCTGACTACCAAACAGCAACTCTGCAGAGAGGCATTTCATGAGAAACCAATTTAAAATAAGCCTCTTTCTCTCTTTTACCCTGCTTCATTTTTATCCATAGCACTTATCACTTTACATTACTCATTTGTGAATAAATATATAAAACATAAATGTATAAGTACATATTTACAAATAAACATCTTATCTAATAAAAGAGAAACATGCAAATTGACCGTACCTTTGCTACACTCACAAGTCACACCCACAAGCCACGTGCACCAGCCAATCAGAGTGACTATATGCATATTAACCCACCCAAGATGGCGGCCGACAGTCCCGGAGCTGGAGCAAGCAGGAGGCTTGGTTGCCCCAGCGATGGAGGAAGCCAAGCTTCCCGCCGGCCCTGGCTGGCTGTGGCCTCTGGTCAAAGGCAACAAAGTTTCAATTATAGAAGATAAATAAATCCCAGATACCTGCTTCCAGCCAGCCTCCACTGGGAGCTTGGGTGGCTGGGGGCTGTGGCCAGCCTGCAAACAGCCATCATCCCCTCACCCAGGATGGCCTCACCCTCATGGGGTGAGGGTCCCCGCTGGGGGGGTTGGCCAGCTGGAAAACAGCCATCAGCCCCTCACCCAGGATGGCCAGGCACCCCAGCGGGGACCCTCACCCTGAAGGGGCTGTGGCCAGCCTGCAAACAGCCATCAGCCCCTATCCCAGGCTGTCCAGGCAACCCAGTGGGAACCCCACCCTGATCCAGGACACCCTTCAGGGCAAACCACCCGTGCACCAGGCCTCTATCCTATATAATAAAAGGGTAATATGCAAATTGACCCTAATAGCAGAATGACTGGGAATCACTGGTCACTATGACACACACTGACCACCAGGGGGCAGACGCTCAATGCAGGAGCTGCCTCCTGGTGGTCAATGTGCTCCCACAGGGGGAGCTCTGCTCAGCCACAAGCCAGGCTGATGGCTGCCAGTACAGCAGTGGTGGTGGGAGCCTCTCCCACCTCTTCAGCAGCACTAAGGATGTCTGACTGCAGCTTAGGCCTGCTCCCTGCTGGCAAGTGGACATCCCCCAAGGGCTCCCATGCTGCCAGAGGGATGTCTGACTGCCAGCTTAGGCCCAATCCCCCAGGGAGTGGGCGTAAGCCAGCAGGTGGACATCCTTCGAGGGGTCCCAGACTGTGAGAGGGCACAGGCTGGGCTGAGGGACCCCCCGAATGCACAAATTTTTGTGCACCAAGCCTCTAGTATAAAGTATAAAATGTAAGCTACATTAAGGAAAAATGTTTCAATCATTTGCTCTAGAATAATGTACAGTGATAGAAAATATATGCTCAATTAATTTGTTGAATAAAAAAATAAATGAATAAATAAATGGAGGTCACTGAACCCAGAAGTAAACATCTTTCTTTTCTTTTGCAAAGTTAAACAGGTAGGATCCACATATGAAATAAAATGCATTGCATTTATATTTACGAAGACAACATGTATTATGATTGGACAAGGATGGGATGGAAATCTCTATCTGTGAAAAATAAGTCGAACTTTTGAAGATTTAGGAGGTAAATGACTCCTTAAGCCTCCAGGAAGAAGATTAGACTATTGAATGACTTTTTCTCGGGCAATTACCTGCTAATAAAGCACATTTATGAGGATGGTAGAAACACCTATTGTTCCAGAGCACACTGAAGTCAGTGAAAATTCTGAGCTTCATAGTGAGAGTCTTTGGTCTTTTCCATTTCTTCAGGTTTTGCATATCAGAGCGTGGTATATCAGAATATATAGATATTGCCTTTCCCAACAGGGTGAAGTATTTCTCCAAAGTTTCTATCTTTGTAGGGCTTTTATTTTTCCCCATTTTTATCCAGACATTATCCATCATTAATATAATAATTTCTGTTAAGAAGAGAGGAACAAAACATCAACTTGGCTTCTGATTTCATTATCTGAATAGTCTAGAATTTCAATTTTTCCTTTTGTTTAATATTTATCTCTTTTTTCCCTTTCTCACTTTTATAGTATATGTGCTGCCGAAATGAGCACATTTCTCACTTTTATAAATAGCGATGAGGTGACTATGCAGTGCATAGACCTTTGTCTATCTCTGTGTCAAGTTCAAACAGTCAAATTACTGGCTCAAAGCAAATGTACGCTTTAAGACCTCAAAGAAGCATTGAATAGATTTATCCTTGGAAGAAGAATTTGAGTATCATATAACTTTAGAAAAATAAGTTAAAAGCTTTAGATCAGTCCATTTCATTTTTAATAAATAAGTAAAGTAAGGCCTAGAGACTTCTCTACTTTCCTTAATATTCGAGAAAGCACTAAATCTCATGTTACCCACATATTTCCTGCCCCTATCTCTGCCTCCACCCCCAGCCCTCAGTCAGAATACAGTTTCTTCCTCTGTCAAAAGGAAAGCCTCACTGCATTTGTAGTTAATCTCAATGAATTATGAATATTCCTTAAGTGCGTCTTACCTGTTCTGTTTTTAAAACATGTTTCAAGAAAAAAAAATTTGTTTCAAGCTTTGTAGTAAAAGGTAATGTCTTTGTCCTCGTGTCAATTATCATGGCAAACTTTTCTAAATTTATTCCTTATAGTTCTTTTTGTTTTTAATTCTGTGTGAGATGGTTCTGTCAACCTATTGCACAGCACCCAATCTTTCTTGAAAGTCAACGCAGGTGTTTTTATTAATAAGAATATTTAACTGTTGCTTTTCACTGAGCAGTACTGTGATTATTTATGAATGGGTTAATAATTTATTCATTGACAGGTACTGGTTTAACATGCATCGTATTGTTGTCACTACGCTAGATATTCAGGACACAGTGAGCATGCTCTTCACTGACTAATCTGGTGCTGGATCTCAAGCAAAGCACTTGGTCTCCTGTTTCAGCTCTGCACTATTTAAAATAGCTTCATATAAATACTTGCCCTACCTTCCTGCCAGAATTTAAGTAATTAAAATTCAGATCCTAACCTAATGGGTACACTCTAAAGAAAGAACTGCCACTTTCAAATACATTGAGTGGCCAGATTATTATGACCACCTGACATTTGTAGGCAAATTAGCCATACACTGCATCATATGGGATATGGAAGCTGAAGGCTTGTTCGAATACCTTTGCTGTCTGCAGTGACCAAGATAAAATGTCTCAAATTCGCACAGGAACACAAGGATTGGACAGTCGAGCATTGGAAAAAAGTCATGTGGTCCGATGAGTCATGTTTCCAGCTGCATCATGCAGATGGCAGAGTGAGAATTTGGTGGAAACAGCATGAGTATAACCCTTCAAGCTGGTGGGGGCAGTGTTATGGTTTGGGGCATGTTTTCCTGGCATGATTTGGGCCCTTTAATTCATGTGGAACAATGTCTGAATAGCACAAAATCCCTAAGTATCGTTGCTGATCAAGTTCATCCTGTCATGTTGATGGCATATCCCAATGGAGATGGCTTCTTCCAACAAGACAATGTGCCATGCCACGGTGCTCGTATTGTGCAGGAGTGATTTCAAGAACATGAGGGAGACTTTATTTGCTTAGGTGTCCCCCACAATCACCAGATCTCAATCTAATTGAACATTTATGGGACGAAGTTAAAAGAGCCATCAGGCAGCTGGTTCCACAACCATCAAATCTCACAGAACTGGACAGTGCTATTCATCAGGCATGGTGTCAGAGTCCTCACATCACTTTTCAACATCTTGTGAAGTCAATGCCAAGAAGAATCGCTGCAGTATGGAAGGCAAAAGGTGGCCCAACGAAGTGCTGATGGGGTGGTCATAATAATCTGGCCACTCAGTGTATATCGTTCTTTGTTTCAGTGGCTGCTTTGTGTGTGTGTGTTGGGTGGGGAGGGTGGATATTTAATTACCTTAATTCTTAGTAGCCTCCCACTTTTTCTTCTCTTTCTCTTAGTACTACTTTTTCTTGATTTTCTATTGTTCATTTATATCCTGCTTTTAACTTCTCAGGACTCTTTTCAACCCAGAAAAATAGGAAGTAAAAAGGAAAGAAAAACATTTTGGTGAGCATTAACTCACCTGTGGTTTGTTACACGCAATTAAAACACTGTTCTCATGGGCAATGTGATTAACAACTTTATATATGCAGAAGAAAATATACCTGTATTTGTATTTTCACAGGGTACTCTCAAGTCTGGAGATCCCTATGGTTTTTCCACAAATTAAAAACAACAACTAGCCTATGTTTAACACCTATACTTTTCTCTTAAGACCATTTCTTCAACTTGGTATTTTAGTGGAGGAAGTTAGAAAAAGGGAGATATGATGCATGCAGAAGTAACAGTTCTGTTTTTGACACTATTTTTTTTGCTTGGTTTTTACAAAGGTAGTTCACTCAACTAAGTCCCTGCGTGCCCAGATCACCCAACAACAGCAGCTCCTGCGAAAGTCTGGAGATCCCTATGGTTTTTCCACAAATTAAAAACAACAACTAGCCTATGTTTAACACCTATACTTTTCTCTTAAGACCATTTCTTCAACTTGGTATTTTACTGGAGGAAGTTAGAAAAAGGGAGATATGATGCATGCAGAAGTAACAGTTCTGTTTTTGACACTATTTTTTTTTGCTTGGTTTTTACAAAGGTAGTTCACTCAACTAAGTCCCTGCGTGCCCAGATCACCCAACAACAGCAGCTCCTGCGAACGTCAGTGGGACAGCACAGCACACAGAGTGATCGAATTGTGCTTTATTTGTTCAGTAATGTCTGAGGAAGTGACTTACGCTACCCTCAAATTTCCAAATCCTTCTCAGTCAACGAAACTTCAGGAGAGCTGCAGTCTCAAGAGAACAGGTAAGATCCTCTAAGCAGGATCCGACAGACCAGAGAAGAGATCATTCGCCTATCCTGGTGGGTTCTCCTGTCTTCAACTCCAAGATTCCATTACGGAGTGCTAGTTCATAGTGAAGTCGCTATGCCAGAGCCTAGTTTTACTGAGCGAATTTAGTTTGTGAGATCATGAGAGTGTGTAAAAAGACTCTGGTCTAAGCCTCTGGAATCCAGATGTCCGGTGTCACCACAATAGCATATCTTATATTTTTTTAGAGATTACAGGCTATTAGGGGAAGGGAAAGAAGTAATAGCATGAGGATAACTCTCCAGGATTTTTATTTAACTGCTAAAAGATATATGCTAATATATACTGCTAAAAGTAGACATATGCTATGAGGTTCATAGGACCATCTCACTCTACGCTGTGATGTCGTAAACGTTTTTGTTTTTGTTTTTTTTTCTTTCTGAGAAGGAATAAGACTGAAAGTTCCTTATCTCAACTCGTATAATTCCAGTCCACATAATTGCAGTCTGTTTTATTCAGCAATTCAATCCCTAGAAAGTTAGAGATAACAGTGAAGCAGTAGGAAGATAATTTTGGAAAACATCAGAATCATATTTACTGAAATGTCTTTAATGGGACACATGGTTTCTTATACATTCCTGAGACCACTTTTGTTATTTATAAATTACTTACATATTTTGATACTTCTGTATATTTTTAATTCCTTTTGCTCTTAATAGGAAATTATATCTTCTATAAATATGTGGAGTTTTTAATTTACTAATTTACCCCAAAGTATTTTATATTCAAATGATGAAGAAAAAGCTCTCCATATAAACAAATCTGATTATAGAATTTTAAGTATAAGGTTGGTAGATAATGTGTTAGAGACAAATGTCCAAACAGAGTCATCTTCTCCATGGTGTTTGATGAAGGTACTGTATGTATTTAGGGAGAGGTATTATATCATCAGCATCCAATTAATATCATAGGCAACTGACTTCAAGAGCTTATAAAACTGGAGAAGCAATTCATGTTCAGTCACATATTTCCCAATAATTAACAATCGTTATCAAAAATGTTTATGAGAATTTTATTCTTTACATACATCTGGGTAGGTTGCTTGAATTTCATTTTTGTAAAGTTTCACAAAAAGTTTGTCTATTTAAAAATACCTATCATCAGAATCAAGCAGAAACACTGGGAATATCTGAATAGTTAGAAAGAAAAAAAGAGACCAGAGCCAGGAGTGTTTTTTTTAAAAACACTTTAACTTTTTCCCCTGAAAAGATAACCATGAAATGCCAGAATTGGAGCTGAATAATGCAGCTGAAAATGGACCAACAAGCATTGAGAGCACAGCTGAGTTGCCAGAAAGCAGAGCTGTGAGAGGTAAGACCTATTTGAGTAAATAGACCCACTGGCTCCAGAAATAATTAATAAGAATGTGTGTGTGTGTGTGTGTGTGTGTGTGTGTG